CGACGACCCGATGACTGAGTGCTGTAAAGAAACACCTGTTGTAGTCAACATCTTGGGACCGGCGCGAGATGCCCCCCAAACGGCTCAACCTTCCATCACAAGGCTAGGTCCTGGACGGACCGGCCCCAGTCTTGACTTCAGTGGCTCTTCAAAAATAAATTCACGATTTATTCATTCTTTTTGTTTCTGCAGTGACAACTCACTTTAGCGGCACGGTCAAAGCTCCGAGTTTACACACCACCCAACGGTAAAACCCCAAGAAAACGAAACAAAAATAAAAAAAGGGAGGCTAGCATGTAACGACACCTTGGTATTGGGTTCCCGCTCACGGCAGTAATCCGGGTGCGAGGAGAGACGACCTGACTGAGTCATGGGAGAAATCTGATGCTCTTTGCACAGAGAGCTTCGAACTTCGCCAACGCCTATACGACCTCGATTCAGAGCGACAGCTGACGCCTTCAGCTGCATAACCTTCATGCGATCCTTTGAACAAGACGCTCCGCTCTAAGGGGGGCCAGATGATGAAATCTCTGGTGGCTCTTGAATGGAACTTCCCCGAGTTTCCCTGCACAATAAACTTGAAAGCAAGTAGATAGGTTTATTCGGTCTTTAATCAGTTTCCTTTGAAAAAATAAACAGTTTTGTCAAGGCGCATCTTCGTCAGACATACTGATGTCAAGGGTGTCCAGATCCTTTTCCAAAAACCGGGCTTATTCTATTCAGCAAATATTTTCTAGTACATATGTTGCACTGCACAAAAGAGGTGTGCGAGAGGAGGGACTCGTATTAAACCAACAAACTGTTATATATCGCACACAAACATGACAGGCAAGCTTTCGCTTCCAAATAAGAAGACATTTTTATTCTCAGGTTTGCCAAGTTAGCAAAAAGAGAACTGCTAAACTTAGAAGAGGCACGAATGGCAAAGTAATGCAATCGATTGATTGTATTAGTCCATAAACACTATAAATGAATAAAACCACACTCAAACGAAAGCTTTCTTTTTCCTTCGACAGACACTTAGCGCAAAGCAGTTTCGGTTGCGCCCTCTAATGATTTTCGTTCGTAACGTGAAGGATTTTCTTTACCGTGACGTCACGAGTGGTATTCATGGCTACTTATTATCGGTTGCAAACTAAGCTCGATGGTTTGTGTAAAAACCACGATAGAAGCTTGGAATCATCGGGTTCTTAAAACAACGCCGTTAAAGTTACTGAAGACATCATAGTGAGCGTTTTCCCAATCACCAATGCCGATCACAGAGACGCTTTTTGGTTACCAGTGTAACCAATAACCCCTCCTGTTTCTTTCTCCTCGATTGAGAAGTTCCCTTTGAGCCATTTTCTTTGTTTACAAGGCCTTTTTTTTTTCTCACCTCATTCTTGGCTGTTACACAAAATGATTCACTAACGCCAGCTCACCTGCTACTCCACATTGACTCTCTTTTGGTTAGAGTATATCTGTTCACAAAAATATGTCCCTTTTTTAATCACAATTTGGTGTGTTAAATTTACTTCGGAGTTATCTGTTACTGCTGATTGCAGGTGTGCTGCCATACCGTGCGGACGTTATCTACACGTTTCGCACGTAGTTGTGTCTTGAAGTACCGGTATCTAGTCGTCTGACAGCACTTGCAACTTCCAGTACTCATGTCTCGAAGTTTTGGTTCCTATGGCAACTTTAGAAAAAACAAAAGAACAAGAAGAGGATAAAAAAAAAACAGAGCTCTGAGACTCTGTGCCTGTGGCTTTCAGTAACTAAGTCTAAACTAACGCGTGATGCGTGGGTTAAAAGCGTGAATGTTTGTATCTAAGCGGTTTACGCTGAAAGGACAAAAATCTTTGCGCCGCCATGTTTTATATATTCAATTCCTTTTTCCTGCCGAAAGCAACTTAACAATTACTAAGCAAGCAAGTGCATTGCTCCAGGATCTATGCGGCCACTCTCGGCTACAATTTAACAATTCCTATACATCGTCATAAATGTGCACGATGTCTTTGAAATATATTGTTATTTATTCTTGCTTCCTTGGTGGGCGTTGAGTGACGTGAGCAATACATTCACCTTGTGCAATGTGGAAATGTTGTCAATTTGTTTTTTGCTGCAGCTGCTGCAGCAAAACGCATTATGTTCATTCTGTTGTGCTTGACCAGGATTGTTCATTTTAATTAGCTACATCACCCTGAAGTTGTTCAGATATTTACAAGATATTTCTCTGAGCTGGCAACTATTTAGAGGCAGTGTGGGTACAATGAAAATAGGCTTAGGAGATCAAACTTGTCGTTTTTTTGGGTGCCCAGATAATTCAACCGAGACTTGAGGTCAATTCAAAGTAAAGGTCGAGTAGTATTGCACGCAGAAGTTGGGTATTCAGTTAGACACGTAAAATCTTGAACGATCGCATCGCCTAGGCAGATATCAGCCAGAGAAAAACAGGCCTGTCATTCTTAAGTTTGCCAGATACAAAGAAAAAAAGAAACATTTTGGCTGCCGAATTTAAGCTAAAATATACCCCTTTTTTGTACGAGATGATTTCTGGCAGGTTGTGCGACTTGCCCGTGGCAACCTTTTCGAGTACGGGAGAAGTCTGAATGTGCCATTTGAAGTTCGTATTGATAAGCTACATATTAATCGCATACGTTTTTTCCTTTCATCCGGAGTCCCAGTCTGTTGTTGAACAATTATAAGCAAGGGCATGTCCGTATGATTCCCAGGGGTCATTTTAAAAATGTGAATCTTGGGAACGGTGTATTGGAGGAGAAATATTTGAAACTCTCGCCCGAATCAATCAGGGAGTTGTCAAGATGGTGCACCGCTGCGACAGCCATTGTGGTAACTGGCCATGGGTTCATGGTGCGGCAGGGCATGCTGTCGACGTCTTGAGAGAGCTTCACACAATCACAGGTTACGCTAAAATCACATTCTTGCATTCTAAGGACTTACTTCTAAAACAGGGAGCATATTCTTTCAAACATGAAAGCCAGCGAAAGCTGGCTTTCGCGTGGTCAATCAGTGATCACAAAAAAAGAACAAAAAATGGGCGTCAAAACAAGTACGGTGGAAATTTTGTGACTGTCCAGACAGCAGGTAAAAACTCGCGTTTGTTGCGCGTAGAAAAAATTTGCACTTAGTTATTTCCGGCCCTGGAGCTAGTAGAAAATATAAAGACACGTTTGGCGAAAATAATCCCTGGAGTATGGGAACAAGAGGGACAAGGGAGAAATAGAAATCTCCAAACACAGGTAGGTGACTGGTGATGGGCCGAGAACATTCGCCTGGTCCGCGTATGGAACCCGGGACCAGGCGGATTTCTTTGGTCGCGCACCAGTCACCTAGCTGTGTTTGGATATTTGTGTTTGTATTTTGTCCCTCTTGTTCCCCTTCTCCAGGGATTATTTTCGTTATTCTTGTTCAGCTCGCTTGCACCTTTGCATTTAATTACATCTAATCATAAAGACAACGTGTTGTTGTTTTTCTAAATAGGTACTGGCTTTCTTAGTACTTAATGCGATAGCTATATTTGGGTTGCTTCATCGTAACCATTTTGATATGCAACACAATACGCTTGCACACGAGAAGCTAATTAGGGAGTAAATAAACTAAAAAAAATCTGGGTGTCTTCCAAGTGAGATCAAACCTAGGACACTATGAATTGTGAGCCTTACGTTCAAGGAACGGACAAGAGGGCAAAAATTTTTATTAATTGCACGAGCCAAGGGGAAGATTTTGAAGCGATATTTATTAAGTTACCTTTTATCCCCCTATCGCGTGCGTGGCAGGCCGCGGTACAAGGCGCTCCTCGATTTACCAGAGTCTTCACAACGCCATGCAAGAGGAACATGTGGTCTAACGAGGATATGGGTAAACAGAAGTGCGGATCTGCTGAGTATGACCACTTATGTGGGATGAAAATCGCCGACCATTTGACGCTCGGTTACCCTTCATGAGTTTCGTCGCAACTTAGGGAGGCGGTTCAACAATATTCAGTTGTAATGTTTTCCAGGAGCTTAGTGGCGCTGGTGGGTCTCAGGGATACTCGCACGCAACGCCACTAGCCAAGAACATTCTTTGTTGCAATTTAATTTCAAGGAAAAAAGCGAACGCTTTCATTGAATCTCTCCTTCGCGAAACTTGGTGTCGTAACTGCGAGATTGCAGTACCCCCTCCAGTGACGAGATTTGAATGCAGCTCACAGATTTGACCCGAGCATTGCGTGAGCACTCGATTTGGGCTCGTGATAATCGATAGCTCGAGAAGCATCTGGGTAGTGGCCCATGCCCAATCGCTTCAATGACGACAATAGCCGAACCATAGCGGTGTCTGGAACTCAGCGTGTGTCCCGCGCCTTGTCAACCCTAGCGCGTGGCTATGATCAACATTAGCGGCGTACAGTCGGTTGCAGACGAATTGGCCTATTGTTCCGGCAGCGAGTTGGGGAGTGTAAAACAAACGCGTGTTTCGTGGGTTTAACGTCAGAAATCCGTTCTGAGCTGTATTCGCGCAAATGACAAAAATCGTTGCATCGTCCCTTTAATCAGCGGCATGTTGCCTTCAAAGAAGACAAGCAATGCTATCACAATTCGACGCAGTGTGTAGCCAAGCACTACAGAAACGCAGGCCCCTAGGTTTTATTACAAAGAAACCATTTTGAATAACAAATGTTTATTGAAAGAATTGCTTATTTTATTGCCATTTTTATTCATATAATACCCACACCAAGTATATCTTAGGTACTCCTCGCTAAAGTTGACTTTTTACCACTAGCATTTTTTTCCACACTGCAGACTGCAAGATTTCTTCTCGAGATATCACATGGGACAAAGTCCTGCTGCTCTCTGCACTTGTCCGAAGTCACCCCCAGTGTTTAGATGACTGTCTTAGGTACTAGACTGGTTCCCATTTACGGAGCAACAAAAGACAACGTCAATGGACACTCGAAAGATGGCTTGAGCACGATGTCCGATACAGAGACGGGAAGTGTATTTGCTGAAATTATTGTGCTAATGACTTGCGTTTACGTCACCCGACGCGGCGTTCTGTGTTTTATCTCTCTTGTCGCAATCTTCCTTGTCATATATTCGGTATGTCGGATATCCACAGTTGAGAAGAAATGCGTATCGACAGCTGGACGGAAGTTCCTTAAATAAGGAATTATACGTATACGTAGTTTTACTCGAACTGTCAAATTCCTTCTCTTTTTCCTCACTTTCTTCGCTTCGTGCTCTTGTAGTGACTTGGGGAATCGTCACATTTTTTAACAAATCTTCCCTCAACCAGAATTCACAAGCTGGAAAGAAAAAGAACGATATTTTGAGGCAAAAGGAAAAACACGCATTTCAGTTTCTAACAGTTCGCGTATGATATAACAAACAAAAAACAAGCGGTTTCATCGCAAAGATATAAATATAAGCTTGTCCAAACGAAAAAGTTGAATAAAGAAAAAAAACAACAAAAAAACAACAAAAACACGAGGGAGAATTTTTTTTTAACATTGCAGAAAAACAAAAGTAAAATAACATTCAAGTTTCAAAGACCGAGTATAATGGTTTTAATATGCTCTCAAAGGTATTACACTAAGCACTCCAATAGATTTTTCTGCGATTTTAAGGTTTATGTTCACCAGTGTGGCTATCGCTGTGAGCCTTTGTGATCTGTAATGCGGCACCATATCACCGGTCTCCGGGTTTTTAGGATCCGAACAAGTTTATTAAGGAGCACTTTCAATATGGGCATGTCTATGAGAATTAAGACAAAGATTGAGCAAAATAGCTGCCGTCTGTCCCCCACTAGCATGCAGTAAGGGGTTTTAACTTCGACACTTGAATAGGTTTTCTACAAGTAGAATGAAGATAAGAAGTTAGATGTAACGTCAGGAAAAACAAAGTCTAATTTTTCATCCGAGGTCTTTTGTCTAAGTAGTAATAATATACTAGAATCAGAATGCGCGATAGGACACACGACTCGACCGCCGGTCTCTGCAAGCAAAACTGTTTGTACCCTTGTATTAGGGGTGTTTCACTGCATTATTTCAATCGGCTGTTTTATTTTTCATGTTCTACTTTTTGACTGAAGCTTCGAATATTAGCTGCCGTCGGGTGGCGCCAAATTCCGATCTCCAACCTTTATGAACAGTGAAATTCGTACCTCGAGACGTATGTGCATATTTAATAAACTGCAGTGTTCTCCGGCCGATTGCAACACTGATTTCGGTCTTGATTTTCGTCTTTTTATTTATACTTTAGTGGAAAAAAAAATAAGTAGATTATCTTTTAAAATTAGCATCGGGCGAACATGGTAGCTACACACGCGTTAGGACTGCAATTCTTCGCCAGGTTCGTGGCTGAGTGGGCGTTGCCCTTGCATCTATGCAATTTCAGCTCCCGACACTTGTTTGCGCTTCACCTGACCTGGTGGAATTCTTGAGTATGTTCACAAACCATTGATCTCACGAGGACCGTTCCCGACTTTGGCATGAGTATAAAACGAGTCATATAAGTTTCCGCATGGGGTCAGCACCACGGTAGTGTGCAGTTCTGCCTGCTACGCTGACATCGACGCATCCTATAGACGTTTGTAAGGAGCAGCGCTTCAAGGGCTGGTCTGGCCACCGTGGATGAAACACACTTTTTTTTCCGCCAGTCTCGAATCCGTGCGTACGCCTCAGAAACGCTTGACTTTCATAGAGTATACGCACACATGCAGCAAGATGGCGGCACTCAGAGACCGTGCTTGCAAACGTCTATAGATCCTTCAAACAGTCACCGTATGCGTGCTGCCATTCTTGGCTTCTGCTCTGGGGAACACGTTCTGAGCCTGCGCAGTTGCTTTCTCATGCGGAACATCAGGCTGTGCGCAAGCGTCCACATCCCACTGACTCGGCCTTTTTAGTCTGGGTGATAAGCGCTGGAAAGGATTATTGCCTTGAGCTTGTATGGAAGTGGACTCTCGCCTCATTCGTGTCTGTTTATTCTGAAGAGGCCTCTTGCATACATGGGTTGCACGTGACGTCATTCAAAGAGCGCGCCGATGACCACCAGAGAAGAGGGGAAGAGCGAGCTCCCCTCTTATCAGGATCCTCTTTTTTGCCTCCCGGATTTGCAGAGACGTTGGTAATCTTCTCCGAGACGCTTATAGATTAACCCGTCACTCAAAATTCTTACAAAAGCAGCTCACCTCTCCTCCTCTTACATGATGGTCTAAGGTATGCGATGTGACGTCAGTGCAACCCACGTGTCTATCTTCTTGTTATGTCTATGTTTGTGTTAAGTCGCAGTAAACTTTTTACACATATCGCCCTTTGTTAGAATGATTTTGTCTCGCCCTTTGGGTGATTTTCGCAGTCATTCAACGCTTAGTTGTCAGTTTCTGGACGGCACGTGACTGTAAAAGTGTTTGAGTTGGTATTAAGATCGAAACGACTTTGAGTATCTTGCTAAAAGGTATGTTTGGGCTAGTTGGTCGACGAGCATCTTGGTTTAAAGTAGCCCGACAAAACAAGGACAAAAAAAAAAAAAAAAGAAACGACAGAGACGACAGCGGTGTTTTCTGTCTCGTCTATAATTTTACCTTGCTTTTGGTCGGGCTGTTTTAAACCAAGATATTGAATATCTTGCATATATTTCAATTCAATGTCTTTCATTTTGCGCCTAGAAAATGTTCTAAATAAGTTGCCACTGTAGTAGAAATCACTTCATTATACCCACATGCAGAGTCCAGTCGATTTTGTAGTGATCTCAGTATATGACAAAAGGAATTGCTGAATAGCACGTAGTTTTCTGAATATTGAATGTAGGGTGTTCCCCAACACTCCGGATGATATATGGTGCAGCCTCTGTTATCGCAGAGGAAGTTGAAATTGAGATCGTAGCAGCTTCCATTTGGTGATGTGGCTTTACGCTTAGGCTGGCCTTGAAAAGAAAAATGGAAGAGAATTTTTTTTAATGAAGTGCTACGTTGTGAGCTCGACACTATACGCATGGATCGGATTTGAGTCAGGAATTGGCGTGTGGCGTTAACGCCGAAAATTACACAGTGAAAAATAATTAGAAAAAATGCCGCAAACAGCTATAATTGCAGTCAACAATAAACGGTGTCAGAAATTATACAAAACAAGTAAAGAAGACAGAAAATAAGTGTGTAGCCACGGATAATAGAACCCATTTAAAAGTGCCCACGCCAATAGCTGCTGGGTCAACTTTCTGAGTACGCCGTTGTTTGAGCACGTGCACTGAGCTCATCTTAGAGACGAGTGCTGCATCAGCGGTTGGGAAAGACTCGGATTAAATCCCTCGCGTCGTGCCCAAAAAATGGCGACGGCCAGCTGTGGTGAAATTTTGAAAATACTGTATTGCGGTGATCCTTTAAGGCCCTGGTATGATCTGACGTCGAGTTTAGCAAGCGCGGCGAAGTGCAGCGCACTCAAATCGTTATTAGTCGCAGATACTGAGTCCTGCGCTACGCCGCTTTCGCTCCGCCCAACGCTGGAGTATAACAAAGCCTTTCGACTAAGGCCGTCGAATGCCCAGAATGTACCCAGGTGAAGACGCCATTGAGCTTTCTGGTCAGTGGAAGTTGGTGGCGGAAGTCTTCCACGTTCAATTCCCGAATAAAAGAGAAAGGAAAACGTTTTCTATGTAGCCTTCTGTCCGTCTTGAATGGCGTAACTTCTTGTTTGGTCATTTTCCTCATGCCCCGGCATTGGAAGTTGATACCATTGCAAGCAACTGCCACTCGTTTTTCTTCTTTCTCCCACGTATTTCTAATCGCTTATAAGCTATTAGAAATAGCTTATAATTAGTTAAATATTATAGTTTTAATATTGTACGCTATTAGAAATAGCTTATTATAAAACTGTAGGTTTTAATAATATATACTTTCTGCTTCCCATACCCTACACAAAAACTACGTAACAATTCAAATAATTACAAGAAGTATTCAAGCAATAAACAGTAGTCTATAATCCGCTTACTCTTCAACTTACAGGGTAACACGAGATCGCGGTTTCGAAACATGCTCTCGCTGAACAAGCACGCACGTCAAGCATAATACGTCTGAAATTAAGGGAGGAGCGCCAGCTTGCCCGCGTTTGTCAAATTTTACCCATGCACTAGGCTTTGGCTTTGAATCGGGGCTCTTAAAGCAGGAGAGAGAAACTGGGCACAATACGTAAGTCTTGCGACCGCCTAAAAAGATTAAAAAAAACTGCAAAAAAAAAAAAAAAAAGCCTGTAGGTTTAGGCGTAGCCTCCTTTATACTGACAAAACCTGGTAGATTGTCACGCGACGCGGCCGCCGAAAGTCAAAAGTGTCGTTTAACGGGCGCCCCGCTGCGGCGAGACGCCGAAACACATTTGTCCCGAGCGATGGCATATCCGCTCGTGCTTCTCGCGTTCCTCGGGCTGCCCTTCTTTTCTCTTCGAGTTGAAAACCATGTTTCGGGTCCTCGCCGCTGCAAAAGCTGTGCGCTGAATACCAGACTCCACGAGAAATGCTGTGTGCTACCAGATCCTCGCGCTTCGAATCTGCGAACGGGCACGCTATGGCTCCCCCGTCGAACTGCCTGGCTTTGTGAGTATAAAGCAGGCTATGGTTTAGGTAATCTGAGAACATTTAGTTGCTTCAGGTTAATTCGAGATAAGTGTCAAAGGTACATTAGACAGTGTTATTTTGTCGATTCTGTATTATAAAACCTCGAATAAGAATTGCATATTATATGGAAATACGATCTAAAAAAAAAAAAAGAAAAGAAGGGTAACTCTTTCAAGGGTTGGATAGAACTCGTGCGCATATTTTGAAAAAGAAAACAAGAACATATATAGTAAAAATACGTTCAATAATTTTAATTTACTCGCACACATGAGGTACAAGATGTTGCAGAGCAAACCAGAATTGTAGTTTGAATGTCAACATTTTGGTAATGTGAGGCACTTGCCTAACATTACCAAACTGCAGTGACCTCGTATTTCTGGTAAGTTTACACCGGTTTATGTGCGCTCCCAAATGTTGGATACAAAATAGCCTAGTGGAGCCTATTTAAGCTAATATTAACCCCTGTACGTCCACAGAGGTTATTCAAACAAACATGACACTAGTAAACCTCACCAAAACCGTAGTCGCACTCGGTACACAAATATATATAAAAAAAGTTACTTGCACGCAGGTTTAGCATGAAACATATGTGAGGGGTTAAATAAAACAATGAAGACCACCTAAAAATTTTAGACTAGTATTGTTAGTCGACAGATGTCGCGTTGACAACCTGACAATTAAACTGCGCTTAATAAATCCATTACCAGTTGCTGCATTCATGGTGCGCCTCCCGGCGACAACTGGTTCGCTCACAACGCTTGCCAGAAATCGTGCGGTGATGATGTAAGTGTTAACTATTACTGCAAGAAATTGTAAGGTACGTACCCAGTTGCATATTATTTTCAATACTATAATCCTTTTGTTTTACAGCTTGAACAAATTGTGTTTTTGATTTCCTGTAGCACAAGATGGGGGGAAAAAAACTATGTGTAGACACCTTGTTTACACTTAAAGCCGGACGTACAACCTCGATTTTCTGCAGGAATGATATTCCTCTTAGCGTACCATTCTCCTAAGCTGCGAGGGGGCCAAGTTCGGGCAAGGTAGAAAGTGGAGAGCATATAGGAATGGAGGAGGCGTGCAAAAGTGTAAAGCGCGAAGTGTACGCCGGCTTGGTATATATTAACTAGGCATTATCGTTCCCGCTTTTTTTAAGGCCCTGGTAACATAAGTTTTAGCCATTGTTCATTTAGCCTATCTCAAATTCATAAATCGGAAATATAAATAGTAACCAGAAGTAAACGTCAAGTTATCATTTAGCTGCTTTCGTACCTTCAGATTAGCCAGAATTATTTCGCCAATATTCGGTAGACTTCTCTCGTTCTCTTACAAACGCCTAGCTTGACATTAAAAAAAATATATATATTTAACACTTTGCTTATTTTTGAATTATATGAACTGAACCTATCAAAAGGCTTAAACTTCATTCCTTCTGTGTGTCAATACCGGCATGGGAAAAAGAAAGGATTCTCAAGTTTAATTTTTTTTTATCTTTCCGTAGGGAAATTGAACTAAACCTGACCACAAAATCGTTCTTCATTAAAAAACAAAAGAACTCTGTCTTTTAACGAAACAATACCATCGAAGGGGGATCGGTGCGCGAATTTCTTTTGGGATGTCCTACAGAAAACATTGAAGAAAGATCTGAATATCTGTGCATATATCATACGTTTTTTTGCCTTTAAAGCATCATGATACTTTTCCTTATGACCTGCTCACAATGATGAGTCTACATAGCCTTCAGAAAACAGGGATTATTCATAGAAATGCTGATCCTCCACGGTCCACAAAGTCCAATATCATAGAAACTATGTCGCATGTACGTAATGTGTATGACCACCTTAAGAAACGCCCAGAATGGCATACACTTCTTGACAAATGACTTCCCGACTTTTAGAGATGTGACCCTCTTCGAAATATGTTACCATGGCCCTCTTTCTTCGTATTTCCCTGTGACCACCACAAGGCACCTTCAATGTAAATAAGCGATAACTATGTTAGATGGTGTATTGATTGCTTCTACCGACATTTTCTAAGTAATAAATACAACAAAAGTGGTCTAGCGCACACCAGCTTGGAGAACGTGGATCGAAAGCTCGCACTGCAGAACCCAGTATCCTGGGTTCTATCCCCACCCGTGCCAGTTTCGGTCTGGATGAGCATCGTACTGGCATGCGGTCGTGTATCACCACTGCGTGGTGAACGTTAAAGACCCCAGGCTAGCGCCTGTACAACAGTGGCTAAATTGCTGATCTACAGAGAGTGACTCGTCGCAACTTTGAAATGGCTGACCAGCTACACGCGGTATAAATATCCACACAACCCCAATTCTTCTTCTTCAATACCATCCAAAAGAAACTAGACACAGACACGAGAATCTGAGCGAATGAACTATTTGCGAAACTATGCTACAAACATAAAATGCTTAGCCCTAAAAAGTTTTTATATGCTTGCTACTATGGATGTGCTAGGTATGCGAAAGCGTTATATTTGAGAAAGGACAAATAAGACTGGTTCGCATATCGATGATTAATTTGTGAGATCGTTTTTCTAAATTCTTGCCAGCTGCCAGTGGGAGCTGGCAACTTAAGACTTTTCTAACTTTTCAGTAAATGGCCCTTTTTGGTTTTTGCACACAAGGGTGGGTGTCGTTTTTCGGTATCTTAATCTTGCCTTAGTGAAATAAATTATTCTTTTTGTTCCGCTGCCTGATCATTATGGTCACATTCAAGCTTTCAGTATGTGCGGATTATGTACCTTAAAGAGGGGGCGCAACGATATTCGGGATTTGGCCAGTTAACTGCGAGAATTAGTCGTAGACGCGTTTCGAAGAACACGAAACGCTTTTACCTTGTGCGCACTGATTTTTATTTTATAAAAAAATAAAAAGATTGAAGGTCGCCGTATTCCTCAACTCTCGAACCCGTATTTTGAGTGACGTCACTTGTAGTACCACCTTGTCTCCCATTGGGTTGGGAACCCAGCGCACCCTCTGCCATTGCCCAATGTTGAAGGTATAGTATCGCCGAAGATTGTGGCGTGCGATCGACACAAGACCCTGTTCACCAAGGGGCTTACGCAGATTTTAGCGGCGGATGGGGGCTGGTTTAGTTGACTTATGTGTGCTCCCAATGACGGGACACCGTCACTCCCATATCTGCCACACCCGGCTACAGATCGGCAAATAACGCGTCGTTGTTTTTGTTTTTGCGTTTAAACAGCGGAATCGCAATATTTGAGGGGAAGGGGACGCGTTTTCTTTCGTTTGTGCCAAGTCAGACATATCGACGTAATACGGCGAGCAATTGTGTTCCAAATTCCGTCGCTGGCACATCGGAACAATGGAGGAGCATGCCAATCAAAAGGCAACATTGCCTTAGGTCGAGGAGAAGCGAAAGCACTTGTGCGCGTTTCGGGAGTGAGCAAACGTACGAGGTATGCAAGAAACAGACGAACTTCCACGTTGCATACGCCGATACAGAATCGAGACACATACTTACTATGGTGTTACAATAGAGTGACCAGTGTCATGTACGTATTGTGTTATTGAAGAGCATGCGAAGATCATCTCGAAAATATGTAGATAAAATTAACCGTACTCAGCGGATGAGAGAATCGCTAGATAGCCGCCCAAAAGACAAGATCTCTGACGGCGTCGTGCTTCGAGGGTTGACTCTCATAATTACCCTTTCAAGTGTGCTACTCCACCACACCGCCTTGTTTTTTCGACGTTACCTATTTGTTCTATGAGTGCACGGAACGGAATTGTAGATAAACAGAGGTGTTCTGGAAACACATGCCACCGTCGAGAACGGGGTAAGAAAATTGCTGGAACGTGGCACGCGCTTGTGGGGCTCCAGAGTTTTTCTCACTGTTTGTCCCGCCACGTCTACATGCATGCATGATTTCTTGTTTAGAAGCTTTACAAAGTACAGTATCAACTTTTGCGGGACTCAAAAGCCACGCTTGAAGATATCAATGACCATTTTCATCTCTGTGCATGGTCCGTATAAAGAGGAAATAATCGAAAACAGGCCAATGTAATAAACTTACTGATAAATGATTTTGTACGATTCAATTTCATCAGCATACTTTTTATTCTTTCTTCTTGAGAGACCACGCGAGCTTTTGAAAATTTCCCGAAGATGGTATCTGATGCAGATTTTGATAAATCATATCTTGTCAGCCTTAGTTGGCTCAATTTGCGAAGCTTCCATATTGTTTTGGAGTTGCGAGCAGCCTCATCTTTTTGTATAAGCAATGTCTGCTGCATGTTTCTTTAATCTTTCCGCGTAAAATAAAGGTTTGCTTGTTCTCGCAGCCTACACAATATTGTTGAAATGTATTTTTTGCCGTGTATACTTTCAATGGCACATTTAAATATGGTGCGCGCCAGCGCACATGCGGTGCTCAGACGATGTAACTATTCTGCTATAATAGTGATCCTATCTTATTTATGAGAGGGCTATCGGTACTTCTGTATGCATCCTATTTTTAAGCCTTAGTATATACAGTTCGAAATAGTATATATACAAAATTATTGGCGTAAAAATAAAGTAATCCAAGCCCGTGATCCTGCTTCAGTGAAGCTCCTGGATACTTATTGGTTTTTGAAAAGGCCACTAACCCCTTCAATGGACTGGTTGGATATTTTAATTAAAACGTTTATGGTAGGGACATTGTGAAGCAATGGACATACTTACATTGTTTTAGATTTTTCGTCGTACCATTTTGATGTGTAGTTGGCGCTCTTCAATGTGTCATTGAGGTCACTTGTTTGCACGTGAAGACAGCTAATACCTTTGTAATGTTCTTTTGTCCCCAACCCGCTACTATAAACTAGATAATAGCTCTGACTCTCCATCCACTTGATTGTCTGAAAATGTATTAATGTTTCTTGTAATTATTTTGACACAAATTACATGATAAATAAAAAAATGTGAAGACATTTCTACTCAAAGCTAAACTAAACGTAAGGGGACTATCGATTTTTTTTTTGCATTCATATTAAATTGGGATGAAGATTAAAAATGCAGACTCCACTCTCATCCATGCAGTCTCCGTGTGAAAACACGTCATTGATTCTCCAGAAGAATAAAAATGACAAATGTAGACTGGACGTAAAAAACAAACACTTAAAAGGCTTTAAAAGGACACTGACACACCCCATTTTTTTATTTTTTTTTTGTCAGGCGATTCATAATGCTGTCGGAACACTACCCAATTAATATTTTGCTACAGAGTCACGTATATTATTAATAAAGCCAAAAAAGCAATTGCTCGAAACCCAAACCGAAGCTCCCGCACCGCACAAAGTGGAGAGGATAGAGTGAGTGGCGGAAGTCACGTGGATACACCCGACCGTGAGATATCTTTTTTCCGCACGTAGCAGACGAAATGCGTTCGTTGCCCGTGCGATTCCTTTGCAGATTTGTTTGTTCCGCTCGCTGTTCTTCACTTCAGATGTACATTTAAGCGTTGGCAATCAGTAGTGAGTGCCCGAGGGCCGTGTGAATTCGCGTGATCCGCTCCGAGAAGAATACTCCCAAGATGTTGCGTGAAGAGTTGCCTCACATGTCCTGCTTTAGAAAGTGTCATTGTGCGGCAGACTGCAAAATTTTCCGAAAAATCAACGGGTCGAGATTCAATGGCTGGCTGCAATTCCAGTAGAACAGTTACGCGAAGCTCGGAAAGCGGACGCACCTGATTTATATGCTCCTTGCATTTTGTGGAAAGTTACAACATTGAGTTCGCAAATGTCAAAAATGGAATCCCATACCATTTAGTTCAGCAACGTGTCGTCCACAACAATTGTTTTTTTCAGTGATAATTGTAAAACAAGAAATGTAAACATCCGAAAATGCTTGACAAAAAAAAGGGAAAAACCGGTACACCACACCAGGGATTGAACCCGGGCCCGCCGCGTGTGAAGAAGACATCTTTCCGCTGAGCTACTGAAGGAACTCAATCATGCGTAGTAAGGCAACGGGTAGACTGTATGTCAAAACTTTGATGCCCATTTTCCCTTCAGTACACGCAATTCCGGCTTGAAGTCCGGCAGCACAACGCATATGCCACATTCGCACCTCGTAAGGAAGCCGTACGCGTGCATATTCAACTCCAAGTACGCACATCGTGCTTGACGTTTGAGCGAGGGATGTTTTCAGCCACGAGAAGTTACAACGGCTCGGCGACGTCTTCGTGCAATCGGCTTGCTGGTCGGGCGTGTCGTACAGGATGAATTTCAGTTTTTTTGATCAGTTCAAGATTTCTCTTTCGAAGGAAGACAGAATTCGCCAGTACCGCGAACGACAGTTTTGAAGTAGAGGTCCAACACCCGTCATCCGCTGCCATCCACTAGTCCCACGATACGCAAAACGACGGCCTGTTGAGAATAACGCAGTGAACGCACAGAAGGCTTCCGGTTGTCTGTGCTACCTTTTCTTTTTTTTTAATTAACATATTTGCAGCTTCTCAGAAGCAGCAAAAAATGGGTTTCATGTTTTTTTCTATTTTTGATATTGACTCTGTGCCTTCCATGACCCTCGACTTTGATTAAATTTGGTGGTCGCGTCGAAACCTTAGAAAACGGCCCGTGACCACGGAAAAGAGAGTGAGCGCGACTCAAACCGGCTAGTTCTCGATCGGCGGTTTACGGGTGGAAAGAAACTGAATTTCGAGCCGCGAATTTCGTTCTGGGTTGTAGCGCTCTCATATGTCACGTACAACTGAAAACCTCGGCGAGCATAAATACCCTGTGAATGCCCCTTTACAGACAATATTCGTGCTTAAAAATTTGATCGATAGACAAAACTGTTCGAAGAAAGGAACAAACAGGCAATATTGATATTAAGTAACAAAAATAGCAGCGTTTGTTTACCTTCATTTAGCTGATTTTGATTATAGGCATTACATTTTATGGCATCATCCTTTTAAATGTGTGCCACCTGGGAAACGAGTATATTAAGCCGCTGCCGATAAAATAAAACTGCTTTCTTTACAAAGGTTAAAAACATCTACGCATCCTCGAAGGCTCAGACTTCGCCCAAATATAACGCAAGACGTTAGTGAAAAATAAAAATTAAAAACAAATTGTAACTAACGGTTCTGGTTAAAACATTTCAAGGCAATCAGCAATTCTTGCACTACGCAGTGGGTTTTGTTTTCAGCAGGGGTATTATTCGGGTACATGTATTCACAAAGTAATCCGGCTGCCATCTCCTCACTAATAAAAAGAGGATCTCGACTGAAACAGCAATCGCTTTATGAGCAGGCGGAAGGCTATAATATCGTTACAATAACTTATATTCCCGGTGAAAATAAATCCTACCTTCCAGGCATCCTGCATCGCGCCAAAGTTTTCTCTGTTCAGGTCAGGATTGTTGTCTGCCGGTTTCTTCCAACTTTCAAACTCTACGTCGGCGCATGTCGCAGAAACGCTTAGACAGAACACCAAATGTTTCAGGGACAGCATCGTTGACGACCTCTCAGACGCAGTGGCAATATGGGCAGACGTGTTCGCTTTATATAGTTTCCCCGATTACGTAATTCTTGGAAGAATCGAAATTTCTTTTCGTTTTGTGTTGTTAGAAGAAAGACTCACTTGTGTACACTTAAAAAAGTCACTGCTCTCCCACCTTTTTTTTTTCGAATTTGGTGGGTGTGCCTCTTTTCATTTTGTCAGGCAATGAATCCCGCGCTTGCCAGGAGGTTCAATACCCTAGGACCCGGCATGACATCATGCACAGCAGCAACGCCTAAAAAATAACTCATTCCCAGATTGCCTTGCGAACCGACGCTGCTCTTATCTTCTGCTCGCCACTCATTCGGCTCGATTGGCTACGTGAGGCTTCGACTACGTCTGCTCCGCGCCTCTGAGCTGTTTCGTCCGCCCGTTGTTACTGCTCGCTTTCGATACGATCGCGGCACACAATACATTATTTGGTGTTCAACGAAATGGCGAATTTAATGAGATATTGATATTTGTTGAGCTTGAATCGGAAAAGACTTTCTATGTGCAGTTCATTCATCCCAGAGAGGAAAGCTTTATTGTCCTGTCTTCTCCCACGAGCGCTTCTGTTCTGCACCAGTGTTGACGAAACGGCGCTCCTGGAGCGCATTCCTTTTACGAGGAAGGGAGGGACGCCGCCGTTCCATCTTGCATCCGTGGAACGGGAACTCATTACATTTCGAAAAAACTGCAGAAGGAACGAATATTTTTTTATATATATTTGAACATTTATTTGTACCTATACTGGAGATTTGTTGTCGGTGGTAGGTTAAGAGTTACGTGGGAGCTCCTCCCTTCTTTTTCCACGTTAGCAGAGCGAACGCTTGAGGGGTGGTTACTTTCTCTCCAGCATTCGCTCTTGTAAAGTGGACAGAGATGAGACTCGCTCCTATTTCACTCTTAACTTGTCACTGACTATAATCATTTTTTTAATTATTATCGTCAACTTCAATATCAGATTTCAAGGTATTGGGCAGCGTAGGTAAGGTATTCGAATACAAATAACTGGAACAAATGTGACCTGACGTTGCGATCTTTCCTAACCAACAAGCCTGAACAGTTTTGCTTGTGACAATTCGATACGTAGTTCGACGTGCATATATTTTCCCTTGTTCGCTTTATTCTATTTACGCATTATCTAGCTCAGTACTTTAGTAAATACGCAATTGCACAATTAATTGAACGGCACGTTCCATCTTACTGATGTAACGGGATCGAATTCCTTTCGAACCATTGTAACTTGTAACGGGAACTCGTTCCAAGATTGAGAAGGAACGAGAAAAGAACATTCGTTCCTGTCTTGGAAGGACTTGTAGAGCACTTTCTTACACTGTATTGATTTCCGTTATGTGTAACCAACTAGCCTGTCAGCAGGTTTTAATATTTTCGTTAAAGGAACGCATTTAAAAGCAAAAACAATGAGTATATACATATATACAGAATGCTTAAGCGAAGGCTGAAAAAAGTTCCCGAAATTAGAGTATTCGAGGTAAAAAGATAATTCCCTCGGCACCGCATTACTTGTGGTGGCGGACGTCAAAAAAGGCGCAATACTTATTATTAGTTTGTTAATTACCAGAAGCATGACTAATTCACTTTTTAGTGATTGAAAATAGACATATGGTTTCAATTAGAGACTTGCTGAACCTCATCGAAAACCACTCAATTAGTGATTTTCAGGACGACGTTTAGCGCATGAGAAGTGTAGTAGTGCGCTAAAGTTACCACTCGTGGAGCACGGGCGCGAGAACCTACTGCAGCAAAGCCCTGCATCGGACAGCGCAGCAGCGGACTTCACCCCATCAGAGCTCTCTGCAATCGCCACGCGCTAACGCGCTGTCACGTGTTTTTTTTTTATATTTCCTAGGCATTTTTTTAGGTTAATAAAAAGAAGCGCGCAAAACGTATTATGTAGGAAACATTTCAATTAGGTGTTTCTCAATTCGCTCTACAATTCTCGAATTTACACATCGGCTCTTAAACGAAAAAGAAGCAAATTAGTCTTAATTAACTAAATAACTTGGCGCATAAAACAAAAATATTACGTATGTTCCGAAACGCTTGGTAACGACATATAGTGGTTTGCACCGTCGCAAAATGCTCCGTTCTTTTTTTTTTTTTAAAGTTTGTTGCAAGTTATGAGTCAATATCGTTCACAAAAGTGTCAAGAAACACCAGGATGCCGATGGAATGTCTTGTTGCCCTCTGCCACTGAGTACCCGCACCGCCGACATCGACGACGATTTGCCTAGCGTCAGTTCCGTAACACACACAAATATCATCTCTGCCCAAACAGAAAATCCTTGGAGCGCTAAGATAATTCGTAGCCTCCCTAGCCCAGTTCAAGACACTAAGTTTTGCCGAAAAATATGCAACTTTGTCCCGCAGTGGGTCACCTGGGCACTTACAAGACGTACGCCCGCCTCCGGTCCCGTTACTTCTGGCCCGGCAGGTATCGGACGACCAAGAAGTATGTGCACTCGTGCGTTCCTTGCCAACACCACAGACCTCCGCGACACGCATCAGATGAATAGTTGATGCCCCTGCCTTGTTCCGAGACGCCTTTCGAACGAGTCGGTATCGACCCCTACGGGCCACTACAGAAGAGTTCGACTGGCCACCGGTCCATATATTTATATGGCAATAAAACACCCTTCAGACGGTTGTTGTAGTTTTTAAACCATATTATTCGAAAAGTTCGTCGACGTTCCGGCCTGAGACAGACCTTTTTCAAGACTGGTTACATTTGACGAAACATTGACACACCTTGGTTACACACGTGGCCCATGAGTTCAAGAGATTATGCTAATTCAATACACCTCGCTCCTGCACCAGCAGCACGATAGACTCGACAGAGCTATCGCAACAAAAGCCGATTATTTGGGGCCTAGCCCGAAGGATAAGCCCCCGGCGTAAACCTGGCCAGAAAAAGAAAATTGTACAACATTGCAAAATTTGACTGAACGAAAACGGAAAGGCAGCCACAAAACTGCAGACGCCAAATCCACGGCAAAAAAAAAAAAAAAAAGTTGAAAACACGTAATTTGATGCATTTTCCATTAAAATATTAGAATGACCCCTATATAAAATAAATCGTTTACGCTCACGCAAATACAGAAGGAGCGTGTATGGTTACCGCGTGAATGAACGACATATTGCCGGGATGTTTATTTGTCCCTGTTTTGATAGTGTTAAATTTGTGAATAAGGTACGATTCTTTTTGTTCGCGTTCTGGGTTGCTTTTGAATCCAGACTGTAAAAATGTAACTTGAAGCTTATCGAATGAATGTTCTGGATCGCCCCCCCCCCCCCCCCCCTAATATGTTTTCATAGTTTCAAACGGGGAGTGTGGGCCTTGATTTTGCATGCGATCTGTGATTATTAAACCGCAATCGGGGAAAGGGTTCCCTCTCTGGCCCGTGTACTGCGCGCCGCAAGTGCTACATTGTAAAACGTATACTGAAATACTGGTGTCGCAATTTAAGCTGCCATAAATTTTGTAGGTGAAGTTGGACTTTCCATGGAGTGTGGGCAGACTCCACTTCCCGACTTTCCGCATGGCCGACACCCAGTGCTCTCAGTGGCAGTTGTCTTGGACCGAACTAAGGAATTCAAAAGTTATTACTATCGTCCCACACGGGGGACGGTATTAATAACTTTTGCGAAGCGTTCACTTTGATGTAAAATATTCGAATGTTTCCTTAATATGCAGGTGACATTCGGAGACTTATAGCTGAAGGTCAGCACGAGGCCGGCCTTTCGGCTTGTTTCCGCTTGGACACCGCTGTCACCTAACAAGAGGTCGCGATCGAGTGCCGCGCCATGCTAATTGCGTCATTTAGGATATTTTTTGGGTACTTTTGTTCTTTTAGAACCTCGCGTAGTTCATTAGTGTTGGAGTCAAAATCATCGTTACTAAAACATGCACGCTTAAACCCGTGAGCCTGGCTGTACGGAATACTGGTTCGGCAAGGTCGAGGATGAAAACTGCCAAAGTGCAAATATGTCCGGCTGTCCGTGGGCTGTCGATGCAGTTGAGTGACCATAGTTGTGTCCTTAATTATTATTCTAACGTCTAAGAAATGAAAGCCAGCTTTCGAGTAACTGTGTGAAGCGACTGGAATGGTGCGAGGAGTTAAAATCTGCGATAAACTTGAGAAGCTTATTTTCTGCGTGTGACCAGATAAAAAATACGTCATCAATATACCTTCTGTAGAACATCGGTTGGAGCAGACAGGATGCGAGAAAAGTCGATTCTAGGTCACCCATAAATATATTTCCAAAGTTCGGGGCTATTTTCGTGCCAATTACATTAACTCTAGTTTGAAGGAAAAATTTGCTGTGGAATTTAAAACTGGAGAGAAAGGTACGCGTTTATAAAACAGTGATGTCAACCAGCGCCTGGTGCTGGTTTGCTACATTGTGAAGTGAACGGAAGCGAAAATCATAAAAATAGGAGAGAGAAAGGTAAACAGAAAAAGATAGAGGGAGAAAACACACAACACCAAAGTATTAATTGAGGAATTAATTAAAAGAAAAAACTAACAAAAATGTTTCAATGGGAATTCTCATTCGCCATTGCTGTTTTTCTACTCCCCTACTTTTTCTTCTGTAAGCGAGTAGCTGTTAGAAATTTCAGCAGAGCTTTTGTGGCTCTATACCCCTCAGCAGCAGAAATCCATGGACCAAGCAGAGTACGAATGTTTACGTCTTATTCATTTTGTAGCCTCCGGTCTGTCTTCATAAGCTCCCTTTCACGGCTGTAGTCCTTGCATTCACACAATACATGTTCGATGTATGTGTGACTCCGCACGAAGCACATTCAGACACTCAGCTCTACCGATTTTATGAAGGTAGCTGTGGTGTATGCCACATTCAGTCTCAAGTGATGTAGGACCGTCTCGGCTCCCGAAGTTCAAGTTTGGGATTGATATTTGAAAGATAGGGGTAATGATATCCAGGAT